CGTTGCTCTCCCTCGCCCCACTGCCAGGGGTTGTTGCCCGTAAGTCGGTCCAGCGGTTTGCAGATGGCACTGAAGTCGTGGATGAATCGTCGGTAGAAGTTGGCAAAGCCACAGAACTTCCGTACGTCCGAAGCGTTCTGAGGAGTTGGCCAGTCTGCAATTCCCTTGACTTTGACCGGGTCCATGCCCACGCGCCCTTCGGAGAAGATCATGCCAAGATACTCAATCTGGGACTGTTCGAACCGACACTTCTCCGGCTTTAGGAAGAGGTCGTTCGCTTCTAATCGTCTAAGGACCTCGTGCACGACCTTGCGATGTTCCGTGAGGTCACTACTGAAAATGAGTATGTCGTCCAGGTACACAGTGATCTTTCCTTCGACGATAAGGTCCTTGAAGATGTCGTTCATGAACGCGGAGAACGTGCTGGGGGAGCCGGTGAGTCCGAAGAACATAACCGTAGGCTCAAACAGTCCTCGATTGGTCGTAAACGCGGCCTTCCATTCGTCGCCGGTCTTAATCCAGATGTTGTTGTAGCCCCAGCGAACGTCGAGCGCCGTATAGATCTTGGTGTTCTTGAGTCGGTCCATGAGCTCTGCGATGAGCGGGAGCGGATACCAATTCTTCACGGTGATTGCATTCAGCCGTCGATAGTCTTGGACCGGTCGTAGGCTGCCGTCCTTTTTCTTGACGAAGAAGAAGGGTGAGGACATCGGGGATTTCGACTCACGAATGTAGCCTTTGGCCAAGTTCTCCTGTAGAAACTTGTCTAGCTCGACCTGCTCGCTGGGCGACAACGGGTAAAGCCTCGAGTGGAAGGTCTGCACGCCCGGAACCAGTTCAATGGCGTGGTCATAGGGGCGGTGTTTGGGTAGTCTATCCGCTGCCTCCTTAGAAAACACGCGCATGTGCTCTCGGTACTCCGGTGGGACCATCTCATCGACGGTTTGAACTTCCCGTTTGGCATACTCTTGTTCGGCGAGCTGCTGCGAGTAGGTGTGACTGGCCGATACGAAGAGTTGCGGTGCACCGCGGAGTGTTCGGCCCTTGCGCCAAGCGTCGATGAGAGACTGTTCCGTACCATCCCACTCTTCTTCAGCTGGAGGTAGGAGAGGTTCGTCTTCAGCCTCGTTGACCATTACCGTGCCGCAAACACGCCCCACTGTTCGTGCTTTCCTTACCCGTGGAGACCTTGTGCGCGCCGTAGGCCGTACCCCCGTATCACGCGCTTCAGTCTCCACTAGTTTGGATGCCTTGTGGGTCGCTGGGCAGGTGTCGGGGCATCGTGACAGGCGCAGCGAACCACGTTCCCAGTCTATCTCCGGGTTGTGTTCGCGCAGCCAGTCCAGCCCGATGATCACATCTTCTTCTCCGATGTCCGTGACGACTAACACGACCTCTTCCTCGTGGTCGCCGATCTTCATAGTGAGGACGGCCACTTCCGTGATCGTGCCGTCTCGATTCTCCGATCCATCGATGTTGTACAGAGGAATAGGCTTCGCCAGCTTCCTCGTCGTGACCTGGTTCCGTGCCACAAATCGTCTGTGGAGGAACTTCGTGGTGGCGCCGGAATCGACCATGGCCACCAACTCCTTGCTTCGCTGGTTGCCGCTCAATCGTATAGGGATGTGGAAGTGTTGACCCGCATGGTCGACTTCATAGATTAACGACGATCCCAGTACAGCATAGCGACTATTGGTACACGAGCCCGCACGCGCAGCGTCCAGTGTGGCTCGGATCAAAAACCCTCCTTCTCCTTGGCGAGGCTGACAGCGGCAATGCGATCGCTGAGCTCCTTGAGCTGCGAACGGAGAGCAACCAGCTCGTCCGAGGTCGAGAGGTTCGAGGATGGGGTGGGGTTGGGTGGAGTAGCAGTGGACGCGGATGCTTGCTGTCCTCGCGGGGGCTTCTTGCAGTTCCGCTGGATGTGGCCCTTCTCGCCACAGTTGAAGCAGGACCGCTCCTCAGGTCCATGTCGGTCCGCTGCTACTCGTTCACCACGGCGGCCCCAGCCCTTGGTCTTGGGCATCGCCTCGGCGCGTTCGGCCAGTTGCTGGTCCATGCGAAGGGCGACCTTCTGCGCCTTCTCCAGTGTGTCAACCTCGTGCGCCGTGACCGCGAACTCATTCTGGATCTTGTACGGCAAGCCATCTACATAGCGCGCCCGCTTGTCCTCGTCGGAGAGCGGAGTGCGTGCTGCGATAGTATTGAAGTTCGCCGTGTAGTCCTTGGCTGTGCCGAGCTTGTGCGATGCCTTGCACAGCTTGACGAGTTCGGAGAGCGCGGCCTTCTTGTCGTCAACCGCGCAGAAGTGGGCCTTGAAGGCCGTATCGAAGGCGTCCACATTCGACCAAACAACCTTGCCGTCGGCGAGTTCGATGATGTGGGGCCCGGCCCATCGAGCGGCGTCATCCGTCAATTTGTTCAACACCATGATCCATGCGAGGTTGGCTGCAATCGACGAAGCTACCAGCTGCGTATGGTAAAGCTTGGCCATGGCGGCGAAGCGGAGTCCGGCCTGAGCTTCCTTGCCATCATAGTCTCGGGGTGCGAGTTGGCTGAGAAGCTTGGAATCGATGGCCGACATGGTAGGGGATGGACTGCGAGGGGATTGCACGCTTGATTCGGAGCGTGATGGGTTTCGTGGGGGTCTCGGGGGTGGTTCGGTGGTTTCCGGAGGTTCAAACGCACCTGAAGCTCGTCGTTCTAGACGATTGGTGACGAGCGAGATGGTGGTGTCAAGCGGGATACGAGATCCTCCAGCGGGAGATTCAGTTCGGGGAGAGCCGCCTGGGCTAGGGATACGGCTTGGGGCGCGGGTTGCTGAGCGACTGGGCTGTCTAGTCCCTGGTAGGCTGATGGACGCGAGTACAGCTGCTCGTAGCGGCCGTCCTGACTCAGTTGTCGTTGGGAGGGGAGTCGCTAAGCGAACCTGGATGAGCGCGCCTTGTTCCGCCTCAGGTCGTATGTGGTGCGGAAATTGGGACCAGTCGGTATCGCTGTCGTCCCCGTTGTCCAACCGGTGAGGACAGGGTTGGCTCGGGCAGATGTGCCACCGCTGATAGTTGAGGTTGTAGTGTTGGTCTTCTACGGCGACAGGATGAAAG